CAGGAAATGGTATAGATGAATAACTGGCCTGATATTATGGTTAACATGCACTTCCCCGGAAACCATCCTCTTCTAGCGACATATACATGTGGTTCATATTAAGTGACAGATTTAAGGTCATTTATTTTTTAACAAGAGTCAGATTGTTTTGAGCAAGTTGTTGGGCCAAGGTGTAAACAAACAGAAAATGGCTAATATTTTTACAAGCAAACTTGTGACATTTTATAGTTAGGAAGTGAAAGCCATTGGATAACCTACTAAATCAGGTGAAATTAAACTAGATATGTAACAGCACATGCAACAATAGACCATAAACTGTTGCATTGTTGTTGAAGAGTAAGCAGAATTAAACAATAGCAAGTTACTGTTACTGTTGTTGTAGCAGCCTTCTTCCTGGCCATCAGTGACAGGATCCGTTGATAAATCACTGCTGGTATTTATGGGGAGATCAAATATTTACCACCATGATGCACGAATGTATCAGTTATCTTTTTATTTCAGTTTATACATGAATTTTTTTTTATTTTGTTTATTGAATTGGAAAAAATTAACTTCCCGTAACCCTGGGTGGGACCGTGACAGGTGCTCTCCCTCCAGCCTGGAAGGATCCTGGAGCTCATCGTTTGCAGGGACGCTCACATCCCTGAAAAGGCCATCCACAGCCTTGTGCTGAGAATGCCTATCGATTATCCATCTGACTAACTACGAGCTAGAGTGTTTCTCTGTCAGTTCTTGCAAAGCATCGGCGAAAAAACTGCGACCTGTCAATTTGGCTACCGGATATCACTCTTTGAAGGACTGTTGGTGATTTTCTATCAAGCCGCAGTCCTCGAGTAGTCTACACTTGGCCAATCAAACTAGGTCACTCTTCATACATATATTATCTTCAAGTGGAACTTGCAACATTCCATTTTATTCTGGTATATTCAAGAATTAACATGTGAATCGAACAATGTATTAAAATGATTATTTGTCTCTTTTTACCTTTGTTGTCTCAGCGATGTGGCACAAATCCATTTTAAAATCCATGTTTCTTACAGACTCAAGCCATTGAAGAATTGTTTGTGAAAGGGTGCTAAAAAACAATTTCTTATTATCTTAATTTATGTACTATTATTGTACATGTATTTTCATTGATTCATAAATAAATATAATGTAATTATAATTTTACCTTTGGTGCTATTCTTTTCAAGATGCTATTGGGCTGAAGTTTAAATTGGTTCTTGGAATCACTTTCTACCTTACTTGCAGAGTGTACAGACTCTATACTCTTAAGAACAACTAGATAAACAAGAAATAAACAAATATAAAATAATCTGTCAACGACTGAATCAGATTGGATTTTTTTAGTGAGAAAAAAGGATAACCCACAAAAGTCCAAAGACTTATTTCCAAAGGGGTCCTCTGGTCTCCCATATACTGGGAGACAATCCCCTACTCCTTTACAAAGAATGTACTGCATTATTATGTGCACATGGCCATTCCACACAGGAAGAACAGTTAAAGATCTCATTTGAAAGAAGTTGCACAATTGAAACTTGAATTTCAGCCCTCCAGCTGAAACACATGTTAGTTCACAATCTACACGGATTAGCACACCGCAGGGGTGATGCAAGGGTGGGCCAGTTGGGTCAAGTACAGTTGTAAGGGACATCTGGCCGTATTGACTTGGTATAAACTACTGAGTATTTAAATCCAAAAAAATATGGCTAGTAATCATGTGTTATAGTAGGCATAAACACTACTATGCAAACCAGGACCTACAGTACCTTCTTGCTTGTACCTAGACATAAAGAAATCATAAACTTCTGCATAATGGACCATGCCGTCTCGGGCTAGGTTCAGTGATGTCCACAGGTTTTGCAGCTCTGTAGGATGTAGAAGAAGTCCAAGCCTAACAACAACAAAAAAATGAAGTATTAATTCAATGCCATTCGAGGCTTGGCATCCCAAAACCAGTATACTGTCCCTAATGTTAAACTGAGTAATTAGCAGTAATACTTTTACTCACAAGTCGATTTCAGTAAATGACCTATCATTTTAAAGCTTATAATGTGAAGAATATGAATATATTAAAAAGTAAATTTGCCCTATTTATACATATTTGATTAAAATTGTATAACCATGACAAATTTAATTTTTTATTTTATTCCTTTAGTCACATGACTAAGGATTACAATAACGACTTAATCACTGCCCTATTAGATAGGTGACAATCAATTCACATGACAAACATATACACATGACGCTCTGCATAAACTAAGTCTCCTAATGAGAGTGGAGTTGTTTTGTTGTGAGAAAAAATCCTGTGATCTGACAGGATCTGAACCCAGATCCCTAGGATTGGAAGGCGAGCATGTAACCACCAAGCTATTCAACATATGCTTCTAAAATTATTAATATTTATTATTTATTTCTTTTAAAATTTTCTGTAAAGTATTTCTGATCTTGTTCACAAAATTATTAATATTCAACTTTATTGAGATTATTATTATTATCATTAAATGTCTAAGAATGTTCTGTAAAAAATAGAGTGTACATTACTAAAATGCTATCAACAATAGAAAGGCTAAATCTATGGAGAACAACAAAACCACTGAGAATGGGAAAAAACGTATTACAGTTCTACACTGAATACTATGAAAGCATATGTCAAATAAACCTCCGTTATTTTGCACTTACTCCTGTAGCCAATAATGCATCTGTGTCCGTGACATCCTTCCTGTAGCCTTTGGATCCAGCCGCTGGAAGGCTTCATGAGCAATGAGGCTCTTTGTACGAATAGCCTCTTCAACAAGGTCACTCAACTGAAATAAAAAAGAAAGATCAATTGGTAGGCGAGACTTTTTTAATGTCTTGTCTAGTGAACTTATTTTTTTTAAAGAAAGTTAGGGCAAAAAAAAAATTTATTTTCTCATTTAGCAAAATGGTTTAGAAAATACAAATAAAATTTCATTGATGAATGTAAACAGTGTAGAAATGACATTGATAAATGCTTTGAAATTATATAATTGAGGAAGAAGTATAAATATTTCATTTTTGGCTATTTAAAGATGAAGACGGAATAATAAAAATTTTGTTCTGAAATTTTCAATTTTTCATGCCAAAGAGTGTGTTAACTGGCCAAAAATATTTGTATTCAAAATTATCATTATCAGCAGGCAGCGGGTTCATTAAACAAGGTATAACAAATTAGTCCCGCCTAATGATAAAATGATAATCACAACAATATTTTAATCCCTCTTGTTTACCTCTGCAACAGATCTGTAGCGTGCTTCCATTTTTTTCTCCTGATTTTTTGACACAAGAGTTTTTTCTTGGCTAGGCTCATCTATTGGCTGTGATTCCTCAAGTTGACGTGGAGATTCCATTTGGCTTCGATTATGATTGGTCTTGTACCTTGATTGTGCAGAACCAGGAGCTAAAACAGGTCGTATCCTAGAAAATAATAAGTTTTTCAAACATTTATTAAAATTGAAAAATATGCAATCCTCAAATAATAAACTAGAGAGCAATCACTCCATAGAGGGCATATCGCCACTCTGTGCCGGAATACAGAATACATGCAGGGAGCATGGGCAGTTCCATTATTTTCGTTTATGCTCAATGGGTAATTTTCAGAATTTTTTTTTAATTCCTGTGACCTTGAATTTTTCCTTTAGATGTCCTACAATCAAAATTTAATCACATTTTCCTTACATCAATACGTAACACTCCACTAAGCAATATAAACAGCAAAGCAGTACCCGCTGCTACTTGGAAATGAGATTCAACACTAGTCACTAAGCGCAAGCTTGGTGGTCTAGTGGTTAAGACACCAGGCTAGTTATATGAAGGTCATGGGTTCGATTCCCACCCTAATCACTTGCAAGATTTTTTCGCAAGTATTTGGGAACATATTGATCATTCAGTATAACACCTGGTAGGGCAAAACATCATTCCTATTATAATAATATATATAGAAACAATGAATTTATTTTACCTTTTTTTGTTGAAAAGTCCAAGGAATTCTGGATATGGCACAAGACCATCTTCTTCCTGGCTGAATTGTAATAAGATTTTCTGAAGGTCTTCCTCTGTCAGTGATATATTAAGGACCTGCTCAAGGGCTGTTTGGAACTGATTCCGGCTAATGACCTGAATATCTGCTGTATCAAATTGCCTGCAAAACCAGCAACATCATGTTAGTACTAACTTCAAACTCTTCATCTGAACTTACCAACATTAAAATTTAAAAACTTCATTGGTTAAATTACTTTATATTATTCAACAATTTATTGCATCATCTGTTGCATCTGATGAAATATGACGTTTTTGTAAAAGACCTTATTAACATAATACATTACAGAATAATGAAATTAATGAAATGAATTTAATTAAGTTATTACCTTACTATACAAATTACAAATTTAAATTAAATAATTTTTTTTATATTATTTAATGTATTTCCGCCATAGGCAGAATATTGACATCAATAAAATACTCTTCATAATGCCCTTCTAGACTTGGCTAGAATAAATAATTTTTTTTTATTACTGAATGTTTTTGGACTTTGTTACTATGCAAATTACAAATTACAAATTAAATTAATTTTTTTATATTATTGAATGTACTGTATATCCTCCATATGGAGAATATTGGCACCACACAAATTCTCATTATAATTCCCTTCTGGACTAGGCCTATATTATGTATCAGCTCCTAATTATTAATCATATATCAATTCTTAAGCTTTACCTGAAAAAACCTAATAATTTGAGAAAACACCCATGAAAGACCTCAACCATTTTCGCTTCTGCCTCCTCAACTGGTAAGTTGCCTCTCGGATATTTGGTACCTGTAATGAACCTTGATTAAACAAAACAATTATGTTAAATGAAAAATATCTCTTTTATCACCTAATATAGAGAGGCGCTATAGCTTGATTGTTCAGATGCTTCACTTCCACTCCCTGGGTCCTTGATTCAATATTGCAAAACACCATGATTTTTCATAAGATGTTTTTTTCAGATTTTGTGCCTAAAAGTGTTCTTGTAACAGTGTTGAAATCAGTGATTTTTAGCATTGTGGGAAGCTGTGATATACACTAACCACATCAGTACACATTTCAACACAATGACCTGGGGTGATTTCAGGATTTGGTGGTGGGGGTGCATGAGAAGCTGATCCCACCATGGTGGGGGCTGAGCCAAGAACATTTTGAAAAGATGGACCTCTAGGTGCTCGGAAATTGCACTCTCATACCTTAAAATATTACCGGTAATTCATATCAACATACATTATTTTTCTTAATAAAATTTAGGGGGGGTGCGATCACACTGTCTGCACACCCCCTGCATCTGCCCCAGATGACACTGCAAGTTAAAAGTTTATTGCCTACCTTCATCTTTATATGATACTTGTAAACATCCCAAAAATTATATTATAATTACCTGTGATTTGGATTTGAGATCATTTTGTGAGCAATACCATGATCTGACCTTGACATGAACTTATAGAGAACATCTTTGTAATTTACACATCCAGGTGATCTTTCAGCTCTACATCTGCAAATGAAAATAAAAACATGAATAATGCATTGGGCAAACACAGTTCTTTCTCATACTAAATATGTGTATTTTAATTATTAATGAGGAAGAAAAAAAACTAATATGATATATTATCAAGACCATTTCATTGAGTAACGGTACAACATTTTATTGATAGTTCTGAAACTTGCCTCTCAAGAAGCTTGTCCAATTCTACAAGAGCCATTGGAATGTTGTGCTGTCTGAGGATCATCTGGAAGTCATCTTTGGTGATGCTGCCATCTCCAGTATAGTCTACATCCTTACAAGCTGCCATAATGGCCAGGAAGTTTTCCTCAACCTACAAGTAAGTATAAAAAAGGTACAATAGTAAAATGGATTGTCATATAAAAAACCCAAAAATGTCTTTTGAAAAGGCACTTTTAAAATCCATGCTATCTCTCTCCACACATAAGTACAAGTGAGTACCTGAAAGAATCAAATGCAAGTCTTTCCAGAAATTTTACTTGGTGCAGTTGGCCTACTCTTTAGGTTTCTCTTTTTTGTGACTGTATGAGGTACTTGTGTTGCTTCATTGTTAATCAGACCTAAATAGTTTGTGATTGTATTAAATGGTTGTGTTTTTCTTTCCACCACATATCTTCAAAAAGAAAACATCGTGTACATTACAACTTTCAAAATGTACCTTCTTTTAAGAGTAAAAAAACTAATCATCAAATTTTTGAAATCTAAAATTATTACCTATAAAGGAAAATTTATATCTCAACAAGTAAATTTACCTTGCTAAAAATGACTGACATAATGTCACTGTGATGATGCAGATGATTGCTGGATAAAGCATTCCTCTTTGGATCATTTCTTATGTTCCTTAGTGTCTTCTGTAAATTACGGCTGTTTTCTGCTTCCATAATTTGATCCTGTAAAGTAAATAATAAGTATTTTATAAGTTTACCTGGTAGAGTAACTTTCTGCTGGCAACCCGCTTAGCAACATATTACTATAGGCAAATATTGTATTATTTCATTAGGCCATTTTATTCTACGTTTTTCTTTTATTTAAGCATCATCAGGAATAATATGTAATATAAATCGCTTATCTTTGGAGTGACATTCATATTGTATTATTTCAACAAACTACTTAAGATATTTATATCTTGTCTGTTTCTTTATAATAACAATGTATAAATGGTGTTTTAACCATGAATTACATCATTCATATTTCTTATATTTTATATGATTTACTTCTATCAATATTAGTTCTGTTACAAAAAGTTCCAATACCAAACTTCACAAATTCCACCTCTCATATATGATTTTTTATGCCGCTGCACTATCCCTATAGAGTGATCAAGAATAGGGAGGTTCTAGTCCATGGCAGGTCTTTAGCCTAGCAGTTCAGGCATCTACAGGGGTTTAGGAGCCAAGAAGGGGCCTCATAGTAGTCAAGTAACAGGGCGTAAGTTTGGGGTGTATGGCCTTTTATCTTAATATTAATTAATACCATCCATCAAGATGGAAACCATTTTCAATCTATTTTTTACCATAGTGTCCTGTACCTAGTTGCCCCAGCTTCCCCCTCCCCTGCCCCCCACCCTCTCAATGCTTCTTGTGAAGGAGAAAGTAACCAGCATGAAATTAGGAATTAGCCCATTTGAATATAATAATGTGTTTATAGTTTTCATTTCCATTTCTACAGCATCTGTAGTTAAAGAAAGACACAGCCTGGGGATAAAATGCCCTTAACTGCAAGGCTCAGGAGAAAAAAAAAATGTTAATAATGTTGTACATCTAAATATTCTAAGACACTAAATTATGGAGTGTTTGATGAAATAGTTGGGAATGTTTAATAAATAGGCCCTACATATTTTTGAATATTAAAAAAACTGGGGAAAAGGCCAGTATTCTCATTCCTTTTAACAACATATCAAAAATTTGTTTTCCTCTGGATCATAGCCTTGACTGATACTGAAGCATGCTTTATAGTTTACCTGTAACATGCCTGAATCCATTATCCCATATGATGATACTGTTGGTATAACTTTGACCTTTGGCCGTCCTTCTAAATTCAGACCCAATAAGTGAAAAAACCGAGCTGAACACAGCTTACCAGTGTTTTCGAGATCATATCTAGGAAGAAAATGTTTAAAAATTAAAGATTGTAAAAAGCAGAAAAGAATTTGTTGTATTTCATGAAGTGATTGATATTATTTCACTTAAAAACAAGTATATATAGTGCCTAATGCAGGAAGCCTCACAGATCTTTGGTCACTAAATTCAAAACAACCACTCAATGTACAACTCCCTGTCTGTACAGCAAGGATCTGTACACAGGTTGCCACATACAAGTTACCAATTTGACTAGAAACATAAGATAATATGTCTTGCCTCTTAGGAAAAAAACAAGTGGTCATCCTTAAACCCTCCAATGGAAGACAAAGCTTCTGTTATGACCCTCTGAGCCATTTTTATGCCCCCCCCACCCCACTCTAGAGCATCACAATGATGATTCAGAATCTACTATAAATCTTACCTTTGCCATAGCTTTCTCATTTCATAGTCATCAAGCAGGGCACCGATGCTCGCAAGGCATTCCTGGAGTTGAGGTGGTAAAATCACCCCTTTCTTCCCAAAACAGCATGGTGCTAAATGATCTCGTAGATTGAAATCACTAGAAACAATCAGGAAAGAAAGAAAACTTTTTATAATGCAATGTAAATGCATTGTATCAGCGCATTAGTCAAATATATTTATTTAAAATTTCATCTGATTTTATTCAATGTGGGTAATACTGGTGATTAAATTATAAATGCATCAAACAAGCTTTTGTAGCATTTTTCTCAAACATTTCAAAAAACTAACTAGTATATTCTTTGATCTTACCATCCATGTCATTATCAATTGCTGCTTTAAAACACCTTCTCTTATTGTTTATTACAGTGGTTCCCAGTCCGGGGTCTGCGGATCCCTAAGAGGGTCCGCAAAATATAAATGGGGGTGTGCCATGTCAAAATGGTCCGCAGGGAGTTGGCGAAAAACATTTGGGGTCTGCAAAAAATTGGGGGGTTCGGTAGATTTTTAGACTAATATTTCATCATTCCATTATTTTTCTTGTCTTACAACAGTGTGATAAACATCTTAATGCTAATCATACATTGTTTTAACTGGGATCATATTTGAATTCCAATATTTTATTGGTGATCTGATAGAATCTTTTATATTTGTTTTTTATGTGTGCTTTTTGTAAAGATGTTTAGTATAGGAGAGACACTGGTAGTGCCAATGCTCAGGTAATGTACATCTTGTTTGCATGTTTTCTCTTGTATTGATTTTACCTAGATATTGAATAAATTTTTAAAATCAGGAGGGAGCCCTTAATTTTAGAAAATTAAAAAATAAATGAGATACTGAATAACAATGCTGTATATCATACTTCATTTGGAGTTTGTTTTATTGTTTAAGTTATCTCAAACTTATCAGTGGACGTGCCATTTTTTTAAAATGAATATATGACTCATCAAAATGTAAATTCTAGTGTGAATAGAAATTATTTTATCTACTGAATTCAATATATATTTTTGGCAGGTTATCACATACTATTAAAAAAACTGTACCATGGTTTTCTAAGGCATGAGTGTTGTTGTATAGCCAAGATGAGTGGTTTTTGTGATGTTAATGAAAGTATGAGGTCTACTCAAATTACTTATAATATTTTACCAAAATGAACAAAGACACCACAAAGACAGTGACCACACCCCTTCCCCTGGATACCTTGCATCTCTCTTTCTTGGTTTAAAAATTCACCAGTGGCATATCTAGAAGTCTTGAAATGGGGGGGTTGTTGGGGGCGCGAAGGTGAAGTGGGGGGCTCGATGATCAGTTGAGGGGACGCTAATCGCAAAATAAGGTGATTTTAGATGATTTTTAACTACTTGACCATGATTTTTTTGGGGATACGCCACTGTAATTCACACATAAAATTAAAATTAAGCTGTGGTTTAGTAGTTAAGATATTTGCTTTCAAATCACAAAGTCATACAGTAAAGCTCTACAGACTACCAAATTTCCTTTGAAAAAAACTGTTGTATGCTTATATGTAGTCATGATATGCCTATATATGGTCATAATGTGATGTCATCATGACCATATTCAGGCATGATATTGAATTTTACATATGTCAAAATGCATGTTTTTTTGCTTATAAACAATCTGCTCACACCTTACGAATTACCCTCAATAAAAATTACAGGATGAATTATCATGCTTTATGTTCATAATAATATAATAATAATAATAATAATAATAATAATAATAATAATAATAATAATAATAATAATAATAATAACAATATTGATAATAATAATGATAACTATAATTATCAGCAAAATGTAGTACTAAGCATACCTCCGCTGGCATTTATCTTTCAGGAGGGCATTAGCATATGTTGCTGAGACATAGTCACCATCCTTAATATGGTTGCCAAGTGTGTAATCGCGCAAGTGATCTTCTGTGTGAGCTCGTTTGCGTTGTGCGCACACTTCTTTACGTGTATACGGACTCATCCATTCCCGTTGAACAACCTGTATTCAATGAGGTTAGAAAATAACACTATAGCAGTAAAAAATGATTTGTTAATTTTAAAGAAACAGAAGTACAAAATAATTTCAACAAATATGGATAACAAAATATAATATAACTAAGTAATATAACTATATTTAAAAAATCATATTTAATAGAATTGTTTAATATGAAATGTGTGCCCATACCTCAGAATCACGAAATGCTGACATGAATTCATCAAAAGATATTGTTTTATTAGCATCCAAAACAAATCTGCAAAGAAACATTAATAATGAATAATTTATAGGCCTACGACCATGGTGAAAATAACAAAATTTGGAACTTATAGTAATAAATAAAATAAATTAGATGGGTTTTTTTTTTTCATTTCATTTCAATTATTTTGTCTATGGCACAAACAACAATACAATATACAGACACCAAAGGAGGCAGATGGGATTGTCAAAAAGTTAAGGGTGTGGATCAATCAAACAATTGTTAATTCATAAAATGTTATATGTATGCTAATTGTTATTGTCGTGATGGAATATACAATAACTGGATTTG